ATTTTTAATATTGGCAACCTTCTTTGTAGGATGCTGACAGGATTGTGCGTTCTATCCAGGATTTGTTCGCTTCCTGGGGCAGGTCCAAATGCCTCGCCCTGCTCCATCTGATTGTCCTGCTGCTTCTTCAGAGGATGATTTGAAGTTCTTGAAGGAGTTGGTATTTGAGTACGTATCCTTCATGGATATGGACATTGGAAGGGCTAGTGCTGCCAGACACAAGGATGAACTTGAGCACTTGAGTGCGAAGTTAGAGCAAGCACTGACGCTTCCGTCGCTCAATCTTTCTGCCGACTTTAAAGCGACGTTGAAAGTCATTCATTCCGAGGTCCTTTTCTATGCTGGCCAAGAATGCTGAACTAAAGGCCAAGCGTACTCAATATCTTCGAGCTGTGGCTGAGAAAGAGTCTTTACGCATGGAGATCAACAAGGCTAAGGATGAGTTGAAAGAAATCTCTTCCGAAGTCATGATTGAAGACTCTTTGATGGTTAACTTGGCTGCTCAGATGAGGAACTTCAAGCCAAAATGGACGATTGCAGGGCGAGGATGGCTGCTAAGAAGCGTAACGCTTCTCAGGGGATTGAGCGAACTAAATCTTTGGTCGAACAGTACAAGAAGTTGGAGGTTGATGATGATGACATTGCGGCTGAATTGAACATCACTTCCTCCCGGCAGAACGAGGATTGGGAAAAACTTAGGGAGCGAATTCGTTCCTTATGGGGTAGACTGTAATTAAGACATACGATGTCTTTTTCTCTTTTGTAATTTTTGTTCATTATTAACGAACATTAACTTCTTGTGCATTTATTTGACGTTTATTTTCTAATCATCAATTCTTTAATCACTTAACTGCTTTGCACTAAGAATCTTGTCTGCTCCCTTTTGATATTCCCACTACTGTTCCCAAGACTTAGGGCCATTTAATTCCGTCCATTAAACAGAAATGTGACTGTTCATATTCTGTCCCTTCATCTTCACCCCCTATAAATGTTTCGCATTTTTCACCCTCTATCTTCATCTCTTCATTTTCTTCTTCGAAACCAATTTGCTGTCATTTCTTGGCATTCTGACGATCAACTAGATCCAAAAATGGACTGTCTAGTCGGTCCGCCTTATATTTACCTTGATGTCACCTTTGGTATGGGAGGTATAGGAAATATTTTCTGGCCAGCAGCGAAGTTTTTTCCTGCAAAATTCTTCCCGTCGTCTCTTTGTTCTTCACAAGGAGTCAATGATGGGAGGCAATTTTTGGGCTGCATGTGGGCCACTTTGCTTGCTGAGAGTGCTTCTCAGCTTGCCTGCTGAGAGTGTTTCTCAGCCTCGCCATTGCAGCGATGCAGTTAGGAAGGTGGTGGGGCCAGTACACCCTCTCACTCGTCAACCCCACCATTGCAGGGATGCAATTAGGGAGGCGGTAGGGCCAGTACACCCTCTTACTCGTCAATCCTACCATCGTAGGGATGCATTTAGGAAGGCGGTGTGAAGCTTACTCAGCGATCAACCGGGAGATACTTTAGTTGTATTTTGTAGCACGTCCATC